GACAGCCAAATAGGACAGCAGCCATATGGGAGGAGTAAAAAATACTCCTGCATCCTTGGTTATCAAGTTATTCAAAGTAACTTTAATTAAATAAATAAAATAAACCATTTCTAGACATTTCTAATCAGGCCACCAAGAAAGAATTAAATGGCAAGGCACAGCAATTTTTCTAAAATACATGCCGTAAAGACAGGCAGAGCCTCTTGTGCAAACTAGTTTGGCAGCAATACTAAGGAACTGAATGGAGAAACTACATCTGATGTCAGCTTTGGTTTTCAAAATACAGTGACTGGGAGAAATTCTGGAACCTAAACTTTATTTATAGTAAACAGTGTGGATAATAAACCTTAATGACTCACTACTCCAGAGCTTTGTTTCTTTATCCATTAAGTCAGAGATAACATAGTACTGTTCATGAAAAGAAGACCACAGACCATTTAACATATTAACGTCATAGTTTTAAAAATGTATACAGCCTGCCTCAGTAACTGAATCACTAAAAGAAAACAACATTCATTTTGCTCAATCCAAAAGCATGACACTTCACACATAATAAACTCTTGTTTTGAGGAATACGATATGGGAAGAGGAAAGAGGGCTTCTGAGTATTTCTTTTTCTTACTTGTATGACAATTTCTGAATCTAGTGACTGGGGTTGTCCACCTTGCTGAGATGAGAGGTCATGAGTACTACCAGCCAGGTGAGACCTCAATGCAAGGGACTGCAAAAGCCAGTTTCCAAACTACTTTAATGGTTTAACAAACAGAAAAAGATCTAATGGTTAAACTGTTTAATTTCAAACTTCAGTTTGCCACCCCTGATAGCGAGATCTGTGCGGTGAAGCAGGTTCAGGTAAGGCTGTGATGAAGGTGAGAGTCTGTTCATTTACCCTTAAGCTACCTCAGATGACCTTGTGAGGCAGCTGCTGCATTCATTCCTGTAGGCAAGAAAGGAGAAGGCCTCTGCTAAGGCCAGGGCAATTCCCCTGTGTCCTGGAGACAGCTTCTCCTGTGCCAATCGCACACAAATGCCATAGCCTGGCCTGCTGCACTCTGCATTCTGCCCCAAACCTGGGATTCTATACCATTTTTATGTTCTATATATTAAAGTTATAACAGGAGCCTCTTTCTTTACTGTTGTGCCTGTCCTCTACAAAGACAAATGACAGACTGGAGCAACCAAAGATGAATCCACTGAGCCCAGGTGTTCAGAACTAGACAACCAAAAGGGTGAAAAAGTAGATATTAGAGGAGTTTGAGTTCAGGTAGAAAGCTCTCATTGACTTCAGAGGAAGCAGTCAGGCCTCAAGTCTCTGCCATGAGGCAGATATGCTGCCAGTCTCACAAATGAGAACTTTTTTTTACTTGCACAACACTCAAACGATAAGCCTGGAAGCTTAAATTAATAACTTTGCTAGATGCTAAAAATTATGGTCTTAATAAAGACACTAGATTTATGGCTCATTACAACAATCTGTAACCCACTAATCCCCCTTTTTGTCTTATGACCACAGAGCTGTTACCAGGCCACTTCATCTGGAATGATCCCCTAAAACAGCAGTTCTCAAACTGTGGGTCATGACCCCATTTTAAATGGAGTCGCCAGGGGTGGCATTAGACTTGCTGGGGCAGAAGCTGAAGCCTGAGCCCCACCGCCCAGGGCCGAAGCCCAAGGGCTTCAGCTCTAGGTGATGGGGCTCAAGTTACAGGCTTCCCCCCCACACACACCCCTGAAGCTGAAGCTCTTGGGCATTGGCTGTGTCCCCCAACCCGAGGTGGTGGGTGAGCTCTGACTTCAGTTCCCCTTCCTGGGGTCGGGTTGTAATTTTTGTTGCAGAAGGGGACCATGGAGCAATTAAGTTTGAGAACCCCTGCCCTAGAATATTTGCTACTTATGCTAAACTATCTGTTCAATCTTGTATTTAGCTGACACACTCTCTGTACCTTTCCCAGACCTGAAGAAGAGCTCTGAGTTGTTCGAAAACTTCTCTCTCTCTCTCTCTCACCAACAGAAGTTAGTCCAATAAAAGATATTCCCTCACCACCTTGTCTCTAACTTTTTTCAGCAAGATGGCCATCCCCAGGACTGCCCTGTGAAAGGTTCACCAGATTATTTTTGGTGATGAGTGCTTTTCATTTTAGGACCTCTCCAGGCTGCAGGCAGAGGACAGTTTCCATTTATAAAAGAATATTTCATGGAACCCTACAACTGCAAGAGAGAAGGCCTGTATAACTATAGTGACAATTGACTTTTTCATATTATAAACTCACAGGAGCAAAGTTGACTTCGAGGGTGATGCTCAGCATATGACAGAACTAAAAGAACTGGGGGAAGGAGGGGCACCTTTTAAGGAGCTTTACAAAGACACAGTTTTACATGTGGTCTAGTGGTTAGAGCAGAGAAACAGGAGTCAAGATTAAATTGAAAATTCTTTGGACTAGGGACCTCATCTTCCTACACATCTGTAACATGCCTAGGACACTAATGGCACTCTTTAAATGATAAAATTAAGTAGAAATATCCTTAAATTCCACTATGGGCCCTGCTATAATCTGACTCCATGGGCATTGCTCCCATTTCTCGATCTGTAAAACAGAAATAATACTTCCCTATTTCACAAGGATGATGTGAGAATTAATTTCTTATGTTCATAAACACACATGCAATCCAAGAACAAAAGGTGCTATAGAAAGCCACAATAGCAGCAATTTGTTTGTAACAGTAACAATTTGTAAAGAACTTTGAGGTCCGTGGATTAAAGTTGTATCGGTATTAATATTAGTGTTGTGCACTGGAGAGAGAAATCTTCACATATCTCCACAGGCCACAGTTTGGGCTGCTTGCTGACTATATCTCAACTCCTAGATGAAAAATACAGTAGTAATCCTTTTCAAGATTTGTTGTTAATAAATAAATAATTGGGTTTTTTTTAAAAGAGCTTGTGAGTGAAGAGGGGGAGGTATTTTTGATTACATGACCAGCCAAATAGCCTGATTTTCCAGCAGTCAGAGGTGTTTCCTGCTTTGTACACCCTTTATTATTGTATGTATGCGACAAGTCCATCATTGCAGTATCTGGACTCTGAACCACCCTACTGATATTAATTCCTTTTGTGGGAAATGTGCCAAGTACAATGAAAGTTATTAAATGAACAAATTTCAGTACTTAATTCTCTTTATGCAAATATTTACTAACGGGTTCTTTCATTTTCTATAAAAACAACAAACATTCTACATTCAAACAAAAAACTCTAGCTAAAGTAATTTATTTAAGCAACCTTATCCAACAAAATCAGCCATAGAAAACAATGGTCTGACATTAGCTAACTAAGATAGCTGTGAGATTCATTTATGAGTCCCCCCAATCCCTCCACTGCAGGTTCTTACTATTATTGTTTTAATGTAACTTCTCTCCACACCCTTGCTTTTAATACCTGTAGACTACAAGGCCTGCCTAAGAATATTTTTGTGGTTAATTTCATACCCTTGCAACTCTAAGCCTACACTGAGCTAAGAGCCTTCTGGAACTATATCTGGTGTTGAAATTAACCAAAAAAAAGAGAGAAGTGAGGGGGAACTACAGTTAGAATCCTCTAACATGGCATAGAAAAGGCTAGAGTGGCATGCTTTGTCATATTTAAAACAAATTAGACCCACAAAGGCATTACTTGTAGTTGTACTTTTACCCACGAAAGCTTATGCCCAAATAAATCTGTTAGTTTTTAAGGTGCCACTAGACTCCTCGTTGTTTTTGTAGATACAGACTAACACGGCTACCCTTCTATTACTTGTAGCGTAAATGCCAACAGAAAAGCATGGGCTAAGTCTCTCAGCTCCCTATTTTATATATAGACAGATGATACAATTATACCCCCTTCACATGCCAAATGCCACATTTAAGAGAAACAGTTTTAGAACCTGATTCAGAAGTCAACTTAGAGGTCCCATTTCAAAATATTTTTGAGAAGTAAATATTAATGGCCACTAAGGTAAAGTTACCAGCAACAAAGATTTTTCATTTATCCCCAAATCAAAATAAAATAAAAATTCAAAAACAAGTAACTCCAACTAGAGTAGGCCAAGCAAAGTAGGAATAAGGTATTTTACTCATGACCAAGTCTATTTAAAGGAATTTTGTTCCTTCAAAATAAACACTCTCAGTATCTTTTAAAAAGGTGATCTCAGCTATACGCAGGTACTTTTGCACACTAGTTGAATTTCTGGGAGCTTCCAAAGAACACTTCCCTTTTAACATTCAGACATGCAGTAGGCTATTTTCTGATAATTTAAGACAATTCCTGCACATAATTATACTTCATACCCCAAAACCTACATTTAAGAAATACACTGGTTGTGACAGAAAAAAAATTAAAAGCAAGAAAGTCCACAGCTCAGGGTGAAGAGTCCTGGGGCATTTGCTCCAATATCTAGGCAGTCTGCCCGTACCCTGTCTCACCGCTCAGGTACAAGGCAAATGGGATGGACGCTGGCAGACTGGCTGTGAAGCAGGGTACCAAGGGAGGGGTGTGTGGGGGAGCCTGACTCCCATTTCCAGAGGGCCTGATTGCGACAGGACACTCGAGGGTTTTGCAGTGTAGCGAGGTTGCTGTTTGCAGCAGCACATTGTATTTATAGTTGTACCCACGACCCTGCGGTTCCAGTAGATCTCGAGGTGCCATTTCCTGGGGGTTTGTGTTTGCGGAACAGCCTGGCAGCCATACAAGGCGGGACAGGCGCAGCTCGGCTGAGGAAAGTCACCTTTACCAGCGGGCCGGGCACGGGAGCGGCAGCGGCACCCACAGCTCCGGGACACGGGGGGGACACCCCGTCACCCGGCCCCGCTGGTCCCCACACAGCCCCCGCCACGCCTCCCTCCCCGCCGCGCACGGCTCGGCCCCGGCCCCCGGCCCCGGCCCGGGTCCCCACCTGAGGGGCGCGGAGCGGGACGGAGCCGCCCGGGCCCGCGCGCCCACTAGGCCGCGCCCCCCCCCCGCTACTTCCTCTCCCCCCGGCTCGGGCCGCAGCAGGCCCCCAGCAGCGCCGCCAGCGCGAGCGCCGCCGCCGCCGCCCTCAGCGCCATGGCGCGGAGCCGCCTCCCTCAGGCCGCCGCTCGCGGGCTCAGAGGCCACGGGGCTGGCGCGGGGGCCGAGCCCGGAGCCGCATCTTCGGCGAGAGCCCGGGGCCGCCGCCCCCTTATAGCGCCCGGCCGCCTGCCCAGGAAGCG